GCTGGTGGCCCCTCTTTGCTCTGGTGACTGAGGTGATAATGAGGCTTTCAAGTTTTTGTGACAGATTAGCCTATATACCTAGGGGTAGGCAACCTAAGGCCTGCGGGCTGGATGCAGCCTAATCGCCTTCTCAATCCGGCCCATGGATAATCCTGGAATCAGTGTGTTTTTACATGAGTAGAATGTGTGCATTTATTTAAAATGCATCTCTGGGTTATTTGTGGGGCATAGGAATTCGTTCATTTTTCCTCCAAAATATAGTCTGGCCCACCACATGGTCTGAGGGACGGTGGACTGGCCCACAGCTGGAAAAGGTTGCTGATCCCTGGCCTAGAGGAAGCCTAAGAATGAAAAAAATAATCAAGCAATGGCTGTGTACTTCTATTCTTTCCTTTGATGCGATTGCTACGTCACACTAGCAGCTTAAACAGTAACCCTTCTTTGCAAGACTGTTTGCATTTCTAATTACGGTAAATGCTAAAGGTTGCAGTTCAGGTGGCTTTTGTTAAATCTCAGTATGTTTTACAAGTTCATCCTATGCAATCAGAAGCAAGCCCCACTGAACTCAACGGGGTTTACCCCCAGGAAACCTGTATAGGATTGCATTCTTGCTAATCCTAATAAATGGGGAATTAGGCTATGTCGCCTTTGTGTGAGAAGGTGAGAGTGAGCTACAGAAAAATTGCTCTGAATCTTCAGGGGATGTGGTTAATGTGGTTTATTACAGTGAGTAACAAAATAGAGATGTTAAATTATTATAGCAAAACGTTTCAGCTTCCCCATTCCTGAGCTACTCTTCTATGAATCAAAGGATGCTGAGACCCTTTGATTCACATCAGAGCAGCTGAAGAAGGCCATAAGAATTTAATATCTGCTTTGTTAGTTATATTAATATATTATCAACATAGCTCAGCTGCCTGCATTTTCGGATTGTCCTTGGGCTCGGCTATGGGACCTGTTGTGATGACGTTGTACACTTCAAAATGAATCATGACATCATTGAGCTATTGATGGTAAGGGAAGAAACATCGCTCCCCTAGACTGCTGCAGCCAAGTGGCACAAGGTGTTTTCATCCCTGGGGAGCAGATCTTTACTTAACCTGGGCAGGTCAAGGGTCTATGACTCTCTGATCTTCCATGTGACACTGGGGAGAAGGACCCTGATCTATGACATGGTGTCTCTCCTGCAGTCACTGCCCAGAGTGGTTGCCTTGAATTTTTTTGTTACTGCTTGTTGTGGCTGGTGGCATCCTCAGTCCTGGCCACAATGTTTCCTTATGATACTGGGATTGCACATGTGTAAAGCAGTTCAAAGAGATAGGTCATGGGTGTAACGGGGGGGCAGGGGGCAGCTGCACCCCCCTAAATCAAGCAAATTAATAAAAATACTTAACTAAAAGTAGAAATTGTAGAAAGATTTTGACAGATTTTTCTGAGCACTTAGGGTCAAAAGAAATTTAAAACAACCATTGATGAGACATTTCATTCTGAATCTGCTAGACACAGGGTGATAACAGGGGGGTGTCCTGCCCTGCCCCCCAACATAAATCCTAGCTACGCCCATGAGACAGGTCCTTAAAATCCTCATGCTATCTCCATGCTGTGAAATGCTTCACCTGCTGATTACCTTCACAGCAAGCAGCTGCTAAATGCACAGGAGGCGGTCAGGCCAGAACAGAGGGTGGGGGCAGGTGGACCAATTGGCAAGGGCCTACAATTTTGAGGGGGTCAAGATTATTGAAATGGGACCTACGTTTCCAATCTGGCCTGGGCCTATTTCCAAAGCCCTGAGGCAGGTCATTGGTTAGTTAGCAACCATAGTGCCATCACCTGTCTACCAAAGGTAAGCAGTAAAGGACTCCTGGACAGTTAAGTGCAGTCAAAGGCAACTATGGGGTGCAGCGCTCATCTGGCTTTTCAGGCTGAGGGAGCCAGTGTTTGTCCACAGTCAGCTTTCTGACACAGTGGGACACCTTGACAAGTGTCAGAGCACATGGAAATGTTGTTCACCTTCCCACCACAGCGGTACCTATTTATGATGTGCTTTCAAACTGCTAGGTTGACAGGAACTGGGACAGAAAAACGGAAGCTCAGCCCATTGCGGGGATTCAAACTGCTGACCTTCTGATCGGAAAGCCCAAGAGGCTCAGTGGTTTAGACCACAGTGCTACCCAGGTCTCTTTTACCTGTCTACTATGATATGTTCTAACATGCCATCTTTGTGGACAATACAAACCAGATAAAGTCCATGAGCCAAAACTCTACTGCTCTCCAGAATCATGATGTGCGACAAATGGCACACCTTTAAACTATGTGTTGACCATGTTTGCTTTCTAATAAGGGAGAGCTCAGGCGCCAGACACCCACAACCCTTCTTTTTCTGGAATCATTTTAAAGAAATTAACCTTCCTTTCCAGGGAAGCTGTGGTGGTTTAGGTTGAGAGGCAGCAATGGGAAATGGCAATCTTATTTCATTTGTCTCAGAAGGATGTCACTGCTACCTTCAATTCCCATCCCTAATAACATCACAGTAGGGAGCAAATGAATCCTATTAAAAAAATCAATGGGATTTCCCCCATTGATTTTAGTGGGGTGTTTTTCATTGAGATATAGACTCAAGCAGTGTGGAAGGAGAGAAAAATCTTTAAATCAAGATGAGTAATTCTGTAAGTCTTGTGTGCAGCAAAAACAACCGAAACAAGTAGAGCTGTATGTCATAAACACATATACTTTGGTGTAAAGACCACTGAATTGGCTGCAGGGCTGCAATCCTATGTACACTTACTTGGGAGTAAAGCACCACTGTACTAATTGGGAGCTATACATGTTTACTAGAAACTCAGTAAGGTCAGGGTTTTACATAACTTTTACGGTGCAAATTTAAGAACAGAGGAAGAACCCTATTGGAGCAGGCACACAGGGCATTTAGCCCAGCATCCTGTTCTCACAGTGGCCACCCAGATGCTGTGGGAAACCAAGCAGGGCTTGAGCACAAAAGCAGTCTCTCCTCTGGCTTTAATCAGACTGAAGACCTTGTTACATGCCACCCCAGTCTCCAAGTGGTGTGAGATTCCAGGGTTCATGTTTCCTTTGGAAATGAGGCACAGTGGAGTCTGTGGTGTCTTTATGATATATGGTTTATTTACACATATATACAATTTGAGCCTATGACGCAGGGACTTACAGCATTGACCCTCCAAGAGCTTCTTGCTTCTCCTATGGCCACAGCAGCCTTGGATTCAAAAAGACACCAGCCATGACTCGGCCTCTCTCCAATCTGCCATATTTTACAGACTGCAATTATTTCCCTCCAGCCCACACAGTTCCCCAACGGCAACCCCAAATTCCCCACTCTGCTTTGTCCATGCTAATTATCTCAGAGCTCAAGAGTCTTTCCTTTCCTGATGACCCATCTCACTGTCTTCTTTCTCTTTTCATGCCCCATCTCTCAGGCGATCTCTTGAACACAGGAAGCTGAGTCCAGCTCTTAAGAGTCTGGCTTCCAGTTTAACTCTCCAAGCATTGATCAAATTCTAACACTTAGTAAATCCAGAAATTATGAGTGTCTGGCGCCCACAAGCTCTGGCACCCACAAACCACAAACACAATATTGTTCACTATTTTCTGTTCTGTCTTGAGTTCTATTCTTCAGTTGTACTTGGATCAGTCACCTCAGGAAGGGGAATCAGACTTCCTAGCTGATAAACCTTTGTATGTTATGCATTTGGTAGCTAAATTAAATGAGGAGGGGAAGAGCCATGTGTGCCACCTTGAGCTCTCTAGAGAAAAGGTGGGATATAAATGAAATAAATAAAATACAAATAATATTTTTGCACTGACAGTCAAGGGGCTGCATTCTAACCATATCAAGAATCACAATGTCTTATACATTTTAATCTAATGCTATGTTACCCCTGGAGTATGGCTATTCACAGCGGCCCTGTGACTTTCCATAACAAATTTCTCCTTTAATTCATGTATTGCTTTGAAATTTTTATATTCGGTATATTGTAAAGGCCTTTGGCTACATACAATAAAGTTGACTGTCTCCCACTTTGGGGAAAAGATTCCTGCATTGCAGGGGGTCAAACTAGATGGCCCTCGTGGTTCCTTCCAGCTCTGCAGTTCTATTCTATTCCCTCCTGTGATTTCAGGCAACTGGTATTCAGAGGCATTACTGCCTCTGACCACGGAAACAGAGCACAGCCATCATGTTCTTACAAGCATGTGATGAATTATGTGCTTCTCAGCATAATGAATGATGGCAGGGAATGGGAAATGGTTTAACTAATGGTTCCCCAAACTGAACACTATGATGATCAGCACAGAAGCAACTGGACGGCTTAATCTGATTTTCTGCAATCTCAGCTCAGAATTAAGTCCCATTGATATTACTGAAACTACACCTGTGTAAAGTGAGAATAGGACTGCAGCCTCCAAGTATTATAGAGACTCCTTGATGAAACGCAGAAGGCATTTGTTTATTTGGTGTGTGTTTTTTAAAGGACCCCTGCTCTCATACAGGAGATTTATTTAAAGCATTCATGAAATCACAGCATGTTAGAAAAAGTCGGGGCCGTACAATGGACTTCAGTGGAAGCTGGGTGAATATTGGAGAATATCTGCTAATGCACAGTGGATATAGAACGAAAGAACTCAGCAGTGGTGCCGTCGACAGAAGACTAAGGCAGAAGCCAGAGGCCCCACGCAGCAGGAGAGCCCCTGGAGAAGGTCCCAGGACCCGGGCTCAATCCCTGGTTTCTCCGGGGAGGACTGGGAATGTCTTCCTGAAACCCCGGAGAGCCGCTGCCGATTAGTGCAGACAAAACTGAGCCAAATGGACCCACGGTCTGGTCTGACTTAGTATAAGGTAGCTTCCTATGTTTCTCAAACGAGGGCAGGGCTGGAAGTATCACGGACTCTGAGGTCATGCACCTTCTCCTCCGTATTACTCCGGAGCCTCCCATTTCCTAAGCGCAGACTCCGTTTCTGCCGCCGTTCAGTCCACAGATCTGGTCCGCGGCCACTTCCTCGTCGACGACCGCTTGAAGCGCACGCCGTTGGCCAAAGCTCGCCAAGGGGAGGGATCGCGCGGCGGATGGAAAGGTGGGGAGGGGGAGTGAGAGAGCTCTCCCCAGCCTATGAAGCCGAGCAGCTTCGACGCCGGATTCACAGACGCCTATAAAAGTGGCGCCGGCAGCGGAGCGCTCCCCCTTTCCAAACAGCATTTCTGAGCAACCCAGAGAAGCGCGCGAGGAGCGCACTTGGAGACGTCGCGGATCCTCAAGCGGCTTTGCCCCCACCGTCGCGGGGCTGTTGCTTCCAGGCGCGCCCCCCCCTTTCCTTGCGCCTTCCTTCCCGGGCTCTCCAGGGTGGAGGGGCGCAAGGCGCGCGGTTTCTCTGCCGGGGAAGGCGCTGAGGAGTGAGATGACTTCGGTTCCCGCGGCCAACTGGAGCGGCGGCGGCGCTGGCGCGGAGCTGGGCAGCTGGAACGAGAGCGTATCCCCGACGGCCGGGAACTGGTCGGCGGCCTCGTTCCCGCTGGCGCCCGCCGCCAACTTCTCCAACCGCTTCGCGCAGCCGTCGTGGTGCATAGCGCTATGGTCCTTGGCGTACGGCGCCGTGGTGGCCGTGGCCGTGTTCGGCAACGTGGTGGTGATCTGGATCATCCTGGCGCACAAGCGCATGAGGACGGTCACCAACTATTTCCTGGTCAACTTGGCTTTCTCCGACGCCTCTGTGGCCGCTTTCAACACGCTGGTCAATTTTATCTACGCGCTCCATGGAGACTGGTACTTCGGAGAGGCCTATTGCCGCTTCCAGAACTTCTTCCCCATCACCGCCGTCTTCGCCAGCATCTACTCCATGACCGTCATTGCGGTGGACAGGTGAGGAAGGGGCGGGCGGGAGACGCGAGGAGAAGGCAGGCGGGAGAGGTGGGTGCGCCCCGTCGGAACCTCCGTCGCTCGCTCCATGTGGGTGTCACTGCTCAGCTCGAGTCCCCACGAAAATCTGGTTGTCCTTCCCTCTCTTTTTCTGCGTGGTAAAGGGATTGTTGTGTATATCTTACCAGCACCTTTGAAAGTTATCACAGCAATTGCCCGAACTGGACCAAAAGTCGGGTGTTGTAAGCGCGCCTGAACACGTGTTTCTAGGCTCTCCTAAGCGGGGAACTACTGGGTCTTTTTTCCCCCCTCCCAGGATCTGATATTCGGGGGTTTACTGCGCCTGTCCATGGAGGCTCCACTTTATCTCGGCTTTTAGTCATTGTTACCTACGTGCATCACTTACCCTTTTGGCCATTCCCGGCTCCCCTCCGCCGCAGTACACACTCCCTATCAAGCTTGTGAACAGTACTAGGTCAGCTATAATCCTGTAGTAAAAGTGTGTTTATTTTCGCGTTTTCTTTCTTAAGCCTGATTATCCCCTCCCTTTCCCGGCCCTTTTCATTAGCCTCGCTGCGTTGCTTGCCAGCCCTCCCTCGCTGCTAGAGGGTCCGCTCTGATCAGGCGATCCGATCTGCGCAAGCCGTTCAAATCTCCCTCTTCTCTGTATTCTTACGATTATTTTCGCAGCGGTCATAGGGGGAGAACCATCTCTTCAGAGACAGTGGGAGGAGTTGTTGTTTTTGCCCTGCATTTTAGAAAGCTGCATTTTAGAAACTGTGTTTTCTGTTGCCTCCGTCATTGCAACTGTTGAGGTTAATTGATCGCTTCCTGCCATTTTTCTCTCTCTTTTTTTGTCAATGAGCTACTTGTGGCTCTGGGCGGTCTAGTGGGAGTGTCTAGGGCGGCTGTGGAACGTTCTAACAAGCGCGCGAGTCTCCTTTGGATACATTCGGAGGGTTCCGCTCATGAATGAGATCGGCTCCATCGCTTTGCTTGGGTGGATGGGAGCGTGCTTGAGAGAGCCACCACCGCTTGTCTTTCATTTTGTGCTGTTGTAGGTTCAGAGAGTTGCTGCCATTTACTGCGTAAAGGACACAAACTTCGGATTCTCGGAGAGTCCGAAGCAGCAGGGCACCGATCCCTTGTTTTATTGCTTGATTTCTTTTCTTTTTTTAATGAGAGTTTTAAAAAACCAAATGAGTTCTGGAGAGCTACTCTACTTCCAAAGATGGCGAAATGCTTGGGAAACGAGCCTGCTTATTGGGCAATGAGGGGTGCGTTCTGTGCACGCTCAGAGGCAGGCTCCCCTGATTACTCCAAGAATGCCCCACGGATGGGTGTTAGAATTAATTCATTATCTGATGCAAGCAAAAACAGGCTGTGATCATTCACTAATGAGAGCATACATTCTGTGTATACATGCTCATAGGAAAGAAATTTTTATTGGTCAGTATCCAACTAAAATATTTTTTTTAGCAGATCCTTGATATATTTTCAGTATTCAGTAAGTTTCTTTTTTCATGCATTTATTTATTTATTTATTTATTTAGCTAGTGCTCCATAAAAGGCCAGTCACCTGGGTGCTATTCTTCTTTGGCCAATGAGTCATTGCTGAGCCTGCCGAGATCAGGCTAAGGTTTACCATGGTGAAAACTTTTCTCTCCTCCTCAAGGAGCCGTTATCTCCAGTCAAAACAAAAGCTCAGAAAAACCTCCTCTGCGTGGGATCAGCAATGGTACACTTGGACGAAGTGCAATAATAGCTCTTCAGATAATTGCTTGGCTGGCTTCCCTCAGGAGTTGCCCCGAGCAGCTGAACATAAAAGAGACCAAGCAGGAGACAAACAGCTGGTGTGAAACCTCAGCAAGGCAGCTTTCAACTCCAGTGGGCCATTTGGCACATGGCATGGCAGTAAACTTTGGTTCACTATAGCATAGGGCAGCCTTCTTCAACACAGTGCCCTCAAGATATTCTGGACTACAACTTCCATCAGCCTCAACCAGCATGACTAATGGTGAGGGGTGTTGTAGTTCCAACATAAGAATCATAGAAGGGCACCAAGAGTCATCTAGTCCAATGTCCTGCAATGCAGAGCCCATCTAGTCCAACATCTTCTTCTAATTGTGGCCAGCTACATAGATGCCTATGGGAAGCCCTGCAAGCTCCCCAATGTAGCACCATGCTCACCATGTGATTCAACTGGTATTCAGAGGGATACATCCACAGTGGAGGAAGAGCATAATCATCATGGCTAGTGGTCCTAATCATAATAACTTCCTCTTCTTTCTGAAGGACAGGGATGAGTGTGAATCAGAACAGTGCCATCCACATATCAGCAAGCTTGGGGAAGGACAAAATAAATTTAGGAGTGTGGGAAATACCCTAAGGAGAGAGAGAGTAAAAAAATACTCAGCCCAGTGAGGGCTGGGCATGCTCAGTGGGCCCAGAAAAGTGGGACATAATGGAGTATCTGGGGAGAGGGAATGGGAAAATGGGACCATGAACAGGAACACTCCACACTGCAACCTTTCCTTGGAGGTCGCAAATAACTTCTTATTGTTTGTAATGCCCAGACGGAGACTTGCAAACACACAATATATGAATATAAATGTCCATAGTTTCTCTCTCGCATTTTGTGGCCTTTGAAGCACACTGTTTACATGTTCCCTTCAGTATGTGTATGAACGTGTGTATGTGTCTAAATATATAATGTGTGTACACATTCTGCCAACTAACTTAATGCATCTGATGAAACATTCTGTTGCCCATGAAAGCATCATAAAACCACAGGGCTCTTTGCTGATTTGACTGCAACTGGCTAGCATGGTTCCCACAGGCAATTTGGGTGGATTTTGTGGCACAGGTTAGGTTGCTATCAGTCCACATATTGCACACTGCTTACAGATGATTGTGACTGAGTAGATTATAAATGGTCAGAAATAAATAAATATTCTTCTAAAGGTGAGAAGGAGTTGTCCTGGGTTGATTCTCACATGTCTAGCAGATTGCTTCTTCCTTGAACTGCATATAGTAGTCACTCCTTGGTGCAGCAACCAAGGCATATGATCTAAAGGCACACCCACACTTTTGCTTGACCTCTGTTTTTATTGTATTGTGTACTGATTAACTCCCCCAGGTCCGGTAGCTTTTCTTGGTGTTCTGCTGCTTTGCCTTGCAAAAGGTGGGTCTCACCTGCTGAATCAGATCTGATCAGATGCGCAGGAAATCTGAAGAGAGATTTTGCTTAACCGAGCTTCAGTTCAGCGAGTCAGATTGAGTCAGTGTGGTGTAGTGGTTAAGAGCGGTAGATTCGTAATCTGGGGAACCGGGTTCGCGTCTCAGCTCCTCCACATGCAGCTGCTGGGTGACCTTGGGCCAGTCACGCTTCTCTGAAGTCTCTCAGCCCCACTCACCTCACAGAGTGTTTGTTGTGGGGGAGGAAGGGAAAGGAGAATGTTAGCCGCTTTGAGACTCCTTCGGGTAGTGATAAAGTGGGATATCAAATCCAAACTCCTCCTCCTCCTCCTCCTCCTCCTCTTCTTCTTCTTCTTCTTCTTCTTCTTCTTCGTCTTCGTCTTCGTCTTCTTTTCTCAAGGCACAGAGACAGAACAAGAAAAACTCTCAGACCCAAGGGAATTAATTAGTAGACCATACAATCAAAATACAGATCAAGTGAAAGTAATTCATTTTGTAAATCTTAGCCACTAGCACAGATGGATTAGAATCCTGATAATCCCAGATTTCATTTTTAAAAATGATGGGGGGCGGGGGATGGGTCTTCATGCCTGTTTAAAAGGAGTGAGGGATGGTGTTTGCCAGATCTCACATAGGACTGAATTCCACAACTGCAAGAGACTGAGAAAATCTGTGCTATATATCTCCCCTCTGTATTTTGGCATCTATCAAGCTCATAAGTGATTTGCAAAGCATCTAAATGTGATGCTCTGTCTTTTGATGATTCATTTGCATTAGGAAACCAAAACAGCTGTAGCTTTCTTGTTTTTGGTCATAACTGCATGAAATTTGAAGAAGTGGTAGCCTCCCAAGAGGAGAGAAACCTTGCCAAGTTTCAGACAGGTAGCATAGCGCCAATGTTTTATTGTGGTAGCCACCGTTAATGTTTGATTCCCACCCCCACCCCCCTCAGGCACTGTGATTGCAGAGTGTTTGGTGAGATTCTAGCTGTGGATTGGAAGCTAGAGTTGTGATGAGCAAAGTCCTCCTATTCTCCTCACACTGACATTCATGTTAAATGGTGTTGTAATTAATAATTAATTACAATTAATTAATTAATTAATGATTACTAATTACAACACTTTGGAGACAGGCTACCAGGGCTTTCTTACAGAGCGTTTTGCAGCTCTGGAGCACTCTGGAGTGCTCCAAATCATTCTGGGTGGGCCTGACTTGCTCCAGAGCAATCCACAAGTGATTTGGTTGACTTGATTGCAAAGTCCTAGCATTTATTGGAACCCACAGAACAGATGGCTGTGTTTGCTTGTGGGGGGTGTGTGTGTGTGTGTGTGTGTGTGGCTTCTCAAAAGTTTCTCCCATTTGCAATGTGCCCCCAAAGGTTGGTGGCCTCAGCCTTAATGGTGTTCCAAAATACACTGCCTGCTTCTCCTATCTAGGAGATTGAATCAGTCCCCCGCCCTGTCTCTTCCCACCACCTAACCTTGACTAGATGAAACCATAGGTTCAAACTAGCTTTTCAAGTGCTATGTGTTGTTATGCAAGATCTTCTTTTCATTACAGTAGCAAATGAAGCAATCTTTCTGTTTTTCCTACTTAACAAAAAGCCTGAGAAGCTTAATTGAGTTGGAGTCAATAGCACACTGTGATCACTATGAAAAATGCTAAGTATTTTTTTTATTACTGCTGTTATTTTGCAAGCGGCTCATTTCCCCATATCCCGAACATCCACGAAGCTTGGAGTATGGCATTAATATTTATCAGCAATAATTGCCACTTACTTTCCCCCCACAAAAGCCACTGAAAGG